CGGGCACTGGGGACTGCAGAGCCAGCCGGGCACTGGGGACTGCAGAGCCAGCCGGGCACTGGGGACTGCAGAGCCAGCCTCTGCCAGGCACCCGGGGAGTGGGAAGGGGCTGCCTGGGGGAGCTGACCGAAGTGGAAGCATACCTTGGAGAGAAACTCGAGGGTGAGAGGAGCTGATGGGGGCTTCGCATGGACACATTCCTTTTTGTTAGAGGGGTTTCTGGGGTGGTGATAGAGCGCTTCTGAGAACCCTAGGAACAAAACAGGAAAAAAAGAATTCCAGTCACTTTAGGCCAAGTTGCTAATGACACATACAGTTCCTCAGGAAGGACCTGAGGACCCGGTCAGTTCTCTTCCAAGCACAGTGGCACAAAGATTGTCCCGGCCGCTGTCGGAACCCGGCCTCCTCGGGCAGGCTGGGAAGGCATGGACGTGGGAGCACAGACAACTCTCCCCAGGCAGGACCCCGTGACAGCAGCCTGCCCTGTATTCTCTCACGCTCGTTTCTTCCAACCTCTGCTTTAGAGGACGCCTGAGCTCCCTGATGTCCTGACCTGCCTATGAGAAAGAAGGGATCATGCTATCACTTCTGGCAAAGCTCCTCCTGACTTCTCAGAGCACACGCTGTGGTGCTGCTTGCCAGCCCCTCACAGAAGGTCACTGATGGTTTGTCTTTGTTTTGCTCACCAACAAGAAACTAAAGATATGCCCAGTATGAAACCCACAGCCCAGACTCCACTGTCCCCTGCTCCCTGTCACCTTCCCCACTTCCCCCACGCTGGACCACTTTCTGCTTTTCAGATATGTCAAATGTCCCTCCCCAGGGCCTTTAAGCTCACTGGTCTCTGGCCTGGAACACTCTTCTTGCAGATTTCTCGACTGCTCCGCGCCCCCCTTCCTTCTCTCCCATCCCTGGTCAGAGGGAACCACCAGCCTCAGGCAGCTGCCCTTCCTCTTCCCCTTATTTTCTTCTCCATAGGACTTTCACCATCATCTACTTTATACTTCCACCTCTCTGCTTTTTGTCTGTCTCCCCTCTACAGGAGGACAGGGGGTGACAGGAGACACAAAGTGCTCGCCTGGACTGTGACCAGCTCGGCAGCAGCTCCTCCTGCCCTCGGGCTCCACCTGGCTGCTGAGGGGAGCGGTGCCACCAAACTGTCCACTCGTGGCCACTGAAGCATCATCATTATGTAGCCAGAATCAGAACGAAAACTGGACTTGGGACTGCTCCTGCTGTTACTGCTCTTACACCATCCACTTTTGGTTCTTCTTTTCTAATATTTTTCTATAATAATAATAAAAAATAATAAAAATTGTCACCACTATGATCATAGGTTAAATATTTTATATATGGATTTTCCCATTTTAGAGTTCTCCCCACATCACTGCAATGTGCACCTTAGCAGCTGGGCTATTTTACCAAATTGATGTGTAATTTTTCACACACCTACTTGTCTCTTACTTGGTGTTCAGGCGGCTTGCAATTTGGGGCAATTAAAAGCTGAGAAAGACACTGCATGCAGTTTTCCCCACATGTGGGTCTGCACATTTTCTACAAGGAGAATTACAGGCTCAAAGGACAGAAAGGATTTCATGGCTTTGACAAGTGTTTTCTAACTACTTCCCCCCAAAAGACCTTGTCAACACAGAAGGCCAGAGGCCTGGAGGCTGATGGAGTGGTGCAGAGATTTTAAAAGAGAGAAGGCACTGAACAAACCAGTCGGGCAGCCTCATGGTACGACTCGGCGTGTCAACGCCTCAGCTCCAGCCCCGCTGTCAGGGGCGCAATCACGAGTCCCGTGGACACTGAGGGCACATGTACTCATTTTAATGAGGAATACAGTCACTGAGGGTACCCCATGCCCGTGTCCTCGTGTAAGCACATTCTTGTACCACACAGAAAAACAATTTATTATCAAGGATGCCAGTTCATGAACTTTCCAGAAATAGAAATGCTAAGGGCATAGAAGCATCACATCCTCAGGCTATAAAAGTCTCGTGGAGGACAAGTCATGTGGAAAATCAGGTTTGAAGCAGAAGATTGAGGGTGAGTGTGGATGCAGAATGGCTGACAGTCGTAAAGGCAAATATTTAATAGTGGTTAGCAAGGGCCATCGTCGGCGTCTCCTCCCCAGGAGAATGCATCCGTCCTGTCCCCAGGACCTGCCAAGAGTGGGCACCCTCACCTGGCATCGTCAGGATGGGAAAGGCCGAGGCCTGGCACCAGGACTCTTTCTTACACAAGGCCTAACGATGAACAAGCATTTCCACGCGGACAGGTTCTGTTCTAAGCACCGCACTCACTTCTATCCCAGAGGCACTGTGTTTCCCCTGAGTGCTTCACATTTCAGTCCAACTTCCTCAGCTCTGGACCCATGCTTAGAAACTTTGCTTCATATAGAAACTCTGATTCATAAATGAGCTGCCTGAGCACTTTCACAGCAGGAATGGAGCGTCCAACAAGAATTTAGCCATTGGAAGAGGACAAGCCTTGATAACCCACTGCTGCTGAGTTGATCATGACTCATGGTGACCTGACAAGACAGAGCAGAACTGTCCCATGGGGCTCCCAGGCCTGCAAATCTTTCTGGAAGCAAATGGTATCATTTTTCTTCCATGGATTCAAAGCACTGATCTGCCAGTTAGCAAACGCTTCATGCACAGTGCCACCGGGGGGGTTCATTTATGCGTCTTTATAGTAAGGTAACGGTGCTCTTGTGGACAAGTGGGTAAAGAGTTGCACTACCAACCCAAAGGGAGGTGATTCGAATCCACTCACTGCCCCACTGGGAATGACAGGCAATCGTTTCCTGTGGGACTGATTTACAGTCTGAAAACTTGATGGAGGGTCAGCTGTAAGTCAGTTCTGACTCAATGGCACATAACAATAACACAGGGGGAGGCTTGGGAGGGGAGAAATGTACAACAATGAATGAATGGAAATCCAAAGCCTCTGTAAATTTTTACTGAAATCAATAATAAATTTAAATGTAAGAAAAAATTTTAAGTTAGAGTAAGGATGGCAATGGATTTATAACTGCTCATGCTAATAACACTATATCGTGGCATGGAGGAGGAATAGTGGAAATG